GCAGATGTTTGAAAAATAATCTACTGGGCTGAACTCTGCCGGGCTTTGCAATGAAATTATGATGTACCAACCGTGACATCGAGCAGACTGTGTCCTCTAGTGCCATGGCTTCCGCTGTGAAGGATGAAACAGGCGGACTTATGCAGGTACCCCTCACAGCGATAGGGAAATCTGGCGACGGCCTTCACGCAATACCACTGATTCGGCATACCATGCCGCAGCTGAGCAGCTCCAAGGGCCTTCTTGGAGCCTTCTTCGGGCTTGAGTGGGAGGAGGAGGCAGCTGGGGTGGGAGGAAGAGGCAGCCGAGGCACAAGGACACGAAGAGAGCCCCCCGCCGTTCTGAACGGTTGCGGGGCCGGCCGGGTCTCGCGCGGAATTCTGGGTGTCGGTGCGGATTCAGGGTGTCATGGCTCCAGGGAATTAAGGGTTTCGCACAGCATCCCGGCTGCCCGTGCATGGGAAGCGCGCCACAGGGTGCCCCCGATGTTATCAGGGGGTCGTGTGCTAACAGGACCCACCCTCACCCATTCCCTACTCTGCGCCAGAAAATGGGGGTGGAGGATTTCGGCCCCCCCTCTTTTCAAAGGAAGAGGGGGGGTCGGACCCCCCCTCCCCACCCCTTGCGCTGGACAGAGGGACGAGGGGAGCGCCTCACGCTTTCCAGTGATACGCCGGAGACAGGGCTGGGCTGGCTGGGTCGGGGTGAGAGTGTCAGGGTTCGGGTGTTAGGTTTGGGGTGTTAGGGTTAGGATGTCAGATTAGGGTTAGGGTGTTAGGGTTAGGGGTTTTAGGGTTAAGGTGGCAGGGTCAGGGTTAGGGTGTTCAGGTTAGGGTTCGGGTTCGGGGGTTAAGGTCAAGGTGGTACGGTTAGGGGCAAGGTGTCCGGATTAGGTCAGGGGGTAATGAGTAGGGCGGCAGGGTTAGGGTGGTAGGGTTATGGTTAAGACCAGCGGGTGTTGGTGAGGGTATTCGGTCTAGGATTAGGGGGTTCGGGCTAGGGGGCTCGGATTAAGGTGTTCAGGTTAGGTTTCGGGCAAGGGGGCTAGGGTTTGAGTGGTAGGGTTCAGGCTAGGGTGATAGGTGTAACGACAGGGGTTATGGTCAGGGTGGTAGGGTTAGGGTTAGGGTGTTAGGTTCGGGTTAAGGGGTTAGGGGTTTAGGGTTCGGGTTTGGGCGGGGTAGGGTCAGGGTTCGGGCTCAGGTGTTAGGGTGAAGATTAGAGGGTCAGGGTTAGGGGTCGAGGCCCCCCCTTCGCCCGCAAGCCGTCTCGCTGACTCCCACCTGCCCTCCCAACACATAAGTAACATCCGTGTGAGTATCAGCCTATTGCTTAGGAGCGCCACGCGTGCCATATGCACCATGGATTCCAGGTGCACCAGGCACCCTGGAGGCCCAAACGAGCCACACTCGCCAGGTGTAGCACGTGCTCCACTTGAGCAGGGACCGACCGTCCCGGCATTCCTACAGGCCTACCACGAGATTTTCTGAACAAGAACAATTTTCTTAGAACATAACCCCGACGTGTTGTTTTAATCCCAGACAGAAATGCTCTAAGAACATTTCGTGGAAACCGCAAAAGGTTCTTACAACATTATTTGGTACGCCGATAGGCCAGCCAGGACGCGTCGCCACTGCTTGATCCACGTTTACGCGATGTGCCGGCACCCCCGCCGTCCCTGTCAAAAACATTTGCAAAATGGTCGCGGGCCGCCCACGCATGCTTCAAATGCGGAAGAAAAATGCTTTCCGTCTTGTTTTTAAGAAGATGGTTAGCTAACACGCAGCGAGCAATATGCCGGCACCCCCGCCGTTCCTGGTCAAAAACGAATGCAAAGTGGTCGCGGGGCGCCCGCGCATGCTCCAGATGCGTAGGAAAAGTGCATTCTGCATCGTTGTTTGATAAGGATGGTTGGCCTGCGCGCAGGGCGCAAGATGACGGCCCCCCCGCGCATGCCTCAGATGTAGAGGCAACGTGCGTTCTGTATGCCTTTTGTTGACAGGGATAATTGGCCTGCGCGCGGCGAGCAATATGACGGCAACCCCGCCGCCCTTGTCAAAAACGAATGCAAAGTGGTCGCGGGGCGCCCGCGCATGCTCCAGATTTAGGGGCAAGGTGATTCTGCATAGTTTTCTGACAGGGATGGTGAGGGGGGGGGCATGTTCCGGGTTGGCCCACAATCGGGCGGGGGAGGGGGTGTGCACTAATAAGGAGCAGCGATTTAGGATCAGGGTGGTATAGTTAGGATTAGGGTGGTAGGGTTAGGGATAAGATGTCAGGGTTAGTGTCATGGGGGTTCGGGTTAGGGTGGTAGGGTTAGGGTTAGGGTGTTCGGGTTAGGGTGAGGGATAGGGGGTTAGGTTTAAAAAGGAGTAGTGTTCGGGTTAGGGTTAGGATTAGGCGGTTCGGTTTCGGGTTCGGGGGTTAAGGGGACAGAGGTTAGGATGGAAGGATTAGGTTCGGGTTGTGTCTAAGGTTAGCGTTAGGGGGTTAGGGTTAGGGTGTTAGGGTTAGGGAACTAGGGGTTTCGGGTTAGGAGGAGTTAGGGCCACTGGCCCCACTCGAAGCCCGTTGGACGTATCCAACCCACCCTTGACCCATGACATACAGAACTCAACACATCGAAGACGACGGCGATGCTCTTGCCAAACAAGACGAGGTATCGCCGATGCATCGGCGTTGCATCGGCGATTGCAAGTCGCTCCCTCGGAGCCGAGCCCCCGTATCTAGGCGGCCATAGCCTCACGGAAAACCACGAGGCCATTGTCCAGCCTCCACGTGGCTGCCCCTGGGGACGTGTACTGGCGCGGCTCTTGACCCGCAAGTGTCGAGGTCGCACCCGTAACCTTCGCGAAGGATATTCTGAGCGAACACTTGGGCGACAACTGTATCGCGGGCACATCTGCCGAGGGCACACCGCGCGCCGTGCGTCGAGCGGTGGCGTCACGCGCCCCGGAGTCGCCCAAGAAGCCTCCAGAGTTCACCGACGCGGAGGGACGCGCTTTGGAGCGCCCGGAGCGCTTGGGGAAACCTGGAGCCGCCGTGGCAGCTCCTGGGCCGCGCCTGGAAGCGCTTGGGGGACGCCTTGAAGTGCCTGGGCAGCGCCTAAGAGCCGCCTGGGAGCGCCACGGGCACAAACGCGCGCAGGCGTGCACGGGATCGCATTTGTTCCCAACCCTCCCTTGGTTGTGCACTCGTTTTGAATAGAGCGCTGTCTGCCCCGTCCTCCTCCTCATCCCCCTCCTCCTGCCTCCTCCTCTCCCTCTCTCCTCGAGCCTGAGTCCTGCCTAGTGCCCGCGGCTCGCTCGGGTGTCGTCACTTGCGTAGCGGAGGTGCCGTGCGTCTTAGGCTTAGGCTTCGGGTTCGGGATAGGGGGTTAGGGTTAGAATTGTAGGATTAGGGTGGTAGGGTTAGGGTTCGGGTTCTGTTGGTAGGGTTAGGGCGGTAGGGTCAGGGTTAGGGTCTTAGGGTTAGTTTCATGGGGGTTCGGGTTAGGGTGTTAGGGTGAGGGTTAGGGTGTTACGGTAAGGGTTAGGGGTGGGGGTTAGGGTTAGGGGGGTTAATCGGTTCGGGTTCGCGTTCGGGGCTTAGGGAGTCATGGGGGTTGGGTTAGGATGGTTGGATTAGGGTTCGGGTTAGGTCTAAGGTTAGCGTTACGGGGTCAGGGCTAGGGTGATATAGGATAAGGGATAGGGAGTGAGGGGTTCAGGTTAGGGTAGTAGGATTAGGTTTAAGGCTCGGGTGAGGGTTCTAGTGCGGTTAGGGGTTAGGGGTTCGAGCGTAGGGTTAGAGTTTAGGTCAGGGTTAGCGTAAGGGTAAGGGTAAGGGTTAGGAATGGGGTTAGGGTCAGGGGTTTGTGGGTAGAGATTCAGGCTAGGGTTAGGGGGCTTGGGGGTTAGAGTTAGGGGGTCGGATTCCAGAGGTAGGGTTCCAGAGTACAAAGGGGAGGGGGGTTCGACCCCCCGCCCCCCCCCATTTGAAAGGGAGGGGGGGAGGGGGGGTCCGCCGACGACGGGTCGCGAAAGGGGGGGGGGGGGTGGCTCCGCGGGCGACGGACCCAGGAAATGGGGGGAGGGGGGAGGGTTCCAGACCCCTTCCCCCTGGAGGCATCCGGCGGGGCCACCGACAGTTTTTTGTTCCTCTGAGCGGAGATGCACCTTCGTCTTATGGCTCACAGGTCTCGTGAGGCACACACGCAGAATGGCGTAGCCAGCACTGTGGACGAGTGCCTCACTCGGCGAGCAGCATCAAGACAATCATGGATGCTGCGGCGTCACGGTGGACGTGTTGCACTCGGCACGCAGCACATCGCTGACATACCTCATAAGGATTTTGGCAAGGTAAGGCAGTCCCAGAGTAGTGATCGGCACAGTGGACATGCCTTTCTCTCGGCGAGCAACAAAAAAAGACGACGGGTTGCGGGCACGGGCATGGTGGACGTGTTCCACTCGCGCGCGCCTTAAAAACATGCATGTCTATATAAGTGCATAAAAACTGGTGGCTGTGCTGGTACAGTGGCCTTGCTCAACGCGGCTCGCAAAACATAGTTGAGAAAGAATGTTTTCCCCCAGCACTGTCTCAGGAGGACACTGGCAGGACAAACTCTTCCCAGCAAACTTGCTGGCACGACGCAACTCCCCGTGAGCTAAACAGGCATGTGGTTGTGAATGACCAGCCTCGTGGGCGGACGGGGTGGCGTAGAGCAACGCAGCATTCGACACATTCGTGCGCATCGTCATTAAAATTGGACATGCCGAGGCATCTGGCAAAGAGGCTTACGAGAGAAGCGTGGCCAAACAGCGCCAACCCTTCGTAAACGACCCACACGCCCAGGCACGGACCACGTCCTGGAATCGACAATTCCTTCTCTATAATTACTGTACAGACGCACGCACAGGGCCCCGAACCCCCTACATATGAATGCTGCACTTGCCACGGAAATCCATGCGTGAGATCCGCCTCACGCCAGCTGTCGGCCGGCGGTGACAGGACGCACATTGTCATTCAATATACCATCCAGGCCCCGCTCCGTACACACCCCCTACCTTAATTTGCTGTTTGTTTTCTCTCTCTCTCTCTTTCTCTCCTCTCTCTCTCTCTCTCTCCAATCAGCCCACGCAACCTTCCATGGCTGCAGCCGTGAGTCCCACCTATCAGTGGTTAAAAGATGAGGCCCCGAGGGGTGGGGTCCTGACGACGAGGTGCCTCAAACAGTGTGAATCCAGCCTTGGATCCCTTCCTGCCCTTGGGACCCCATCCCTCTGGACTGGATCCCATCTTTGAACCACTGACACTTGGCGGTGCGCACAAGGGGGTGGAGGGAGGGGGGAGGGCTTCCTAGAAGGAAGCTGCTCCTCAGAAGGCGGTGGCCTTACAGTTCTAGACAGGGCCCGCGCCTTCTGAGAAGCAGGGGTGCTTCTGAGAAGCCCTCCCCCCTCCCCCATACCCCCCTCTGCGCGTGGCCGAGACACCACGTGACCGACAGAGGGCTCTGCGAGTCGGCGCCGTGCTCCAGCCTCCGCCTCCGCCGCCGCCGCCTCCGAACCTCGGCCGCGCTCCCTGGGCGGCCCCGGCGAGGCCCGGCGCGCAGAAACGCCTCTGCGCGCCGCCGCGCCGGATCCGGCGCACCCGCCGGCCCCGTGGTGCGCCGAGGGCGGTGACATGAGGTCGGGCATGTCCTCCTACAGGCGGATGTGGGGCATGCCCTCCTGCACGAGGTTATATATATATATATATGTATATATATATATACACACATACATATCTATGAATCGTTCCCAGGATATTTTATGACTGTTTTTGAAAAACGTCCTCCTGCAGAGGGACATGCCCGACTCAACAGTAACACCGAGGCGCCCACGCCCAAGGCCAAAGACACCGCGAGGCACCCGAGCCCGCCGGCAGCGCCCTTGCGGGCGCGCGGGCCGGAGAGGCCGGCGGGCGAGCGGCGGCGGGGGCGCACCCGCCTCGCAGCAGCCGCCGCCGCGGCCGCGGCCGCCCACGCGGGCTGGGCGGCGGCGGCGGGTGGGCGGCGGCGGCGGCGGCGAGAGGCGTGAGAGGGTGGCGCAGGGGGGGGAGGAGCTTCCTCGGAGCTTCCCGACGCCAACAAGTCGGCGGGAGGCCGCCACTGCAACGATTGCCTGAACGGCATCCTTTCCCAGGCGGCTGAACAACGCGCCAATCCGAACTGGGCGGCGCATGCGGCAGCCGCACACTGCAACACGCGCCGTTGCGAACTGAGCGGCGCGTGCAGAGCCGTGCACTGCGAGCGATGCACCGTCCAGGCACGTCTCCTCCGACACGGCCTGAATCAGTGAAAGATCTGCGCAGCTGGAAAACTCGACCCGATAGACGGCAAGGCATCGCGCCCCTTGCCCGGCTGAAGTCGTGCCAGGCGCCCACGGGTCTTGAAGTGCTGGTGGTGGCACTTTGTGCCCCAGACCCCGGAGATGCAGCGCCCCTGGTGGCCGTAGGTGCACGGCCTGCAGTCCCCGTCGAAGTGCCCGCCGCTGCCAAGGCTAGGCGCGCCCGCCGCCGAGGCCTTCAGCTGATCGCTCAGCCTTGTCAGCGGCCTCGGGAGAATGCTGGACTCGACCACGTCGTCAGGGAGAGCTGCTGGACGACCAGGTGCGCTCGGAAGCATCGAATTTGGAGGACTGCCAGGACTGCTCCTCCTGGCTGCCGGGAAGATGCACCAATGGCAGGGAGGCCTCTTGCTGGGCGGCCACGAGTTGGAGGAGACTTCGCGCGAGGGTGGCTCGGAGACGCGCAAGAACGTGTTGCTGTGGCCAACGCGCAGCAGGGTCGCTGGCAAGGCGAGTCGGCGAAGCCCACAGCCATGGCGCCACCGACAATGTTTGAGTTGTGTGTTGACCTTCTGGCTTGCTCACTTCCGATGGGCGTCTGAGGTCTCAAGAAGATGGCTCCAAGATCGCCGAGAGCCCCAAGAGGGGCCTGGGAGGGCTCCAAGACAGCCCCAGGGCGCCAAAGAGCGCATCTGGGCTAAGCCAACATCACCTTCGAACGAGGTCGGCTTCTCTAGGGTATCTGTGCGAGGCTGTTTGGCAGAGCTGGCCCCAAAATGACACCACACGCCTTAACGTTGCCTCTGTGATGGCGCAATCTGATTCAAATTGGCTCAAGCTAGCCTCTGGCATGCCTCCAAGCGACCGCGATGGCTCCAGTTGGCAATGGAAGCCTCCACAAGATGCCCCCATTAAGCCAAACGCGTCTAAAACACATTGTTTGGAGTTGTCTGTTGCCGTCTCACCGTTTCGCTCACATCGGGCTTCTGAAGCCTCAAGATGACCCCAGGATCGCCCAAAAGAGCCCCAAGCGGCGCTGAAGCGTCACCATGAGAACCCAGGAGTGCCCCGAGCACACTCCAGGAGAGCTCCAAGCGAGAATGCCGTTGTGATGGACGGCGGGCGGGCGGCTGGGGCTAAAGACACCCGTTGTGATGGATGTCCTCCAAGATGGCCCCAGGAGGGCCTCGAATGCCCACAAGAGGCCCCCAAGACGGCTCCGATGCTCCCAACATATGTCCAAAAGGCCCCAAATTGGGGCCAGCAGGCCTCCAATAATGAAAGATCCGCAGTGGCATTTGTAGTTTACTCCTGTCGTAGACTTCGTCTTCCTCGTTGTCTTCGTCTTCGTCGTCGTTGTCGTCGTCGTCCCTTTCTTTTCCCCCGTCCTCCTCCTCCTCCTCCTCCTCCTCCTCCTCCTCCTCCTCCTCCTACTGCTCCTGCTCCTCCTCTTCCTCCCACCTCCTCATCCTCTTCACCGTCCTCTACACAAGCACGCAAGCGAGCATCACGAACATGTACGACAAGGGAACTCAGTGGACACTTGGGGAACACCTTGAAATCCGCAAAGGCACAGAGGAGAACACAAAAGGGGTACTTGGGCATCCCCTTCGGAGGCGGCTTCAAATTGGTCGCCCGGCCCGTCGGCTGGACGTTGCACCCGTCCTGTGCCGGAGGAGAAAAGCTGTGGCGGGGCACACGGGAGGCAAACAGCGTGGCCCGGGCGCCCACGGAGAGGGAGGAACACGAGGAAGACAGGAAGGGATGGAGGGGATGGATATGTTATTTCCTTGTCGTATACTTGCTTGGAGATCTCTTCCAAGAGCAGCACGCTCGGCAGTGCAAGCCCTAGGTCCTCGGGGGCACTGCTGAGCCCAAGGGGAGGTAATCTGCGTGCGCCAATCGCTGCTAATGTGTAAGGTACATCTGTGGCGACGCCATCGTAGTGGGGGGGCCGCGGCTACGGCGAACAGACAACGAGATGCGATGAGAAGAGAGAAGCCGCGAGGCGAATCCGATAAACTTCAGGCTTGGCCGCACGCTCCGCCTGGCCGAGCACCCTGGTCCAAAGACCTCTTCTCTAAACAACGGCGGACGAGCTCCAAACTGGCCGCCAAGACGCCCAAGATGGCCGCAATATGGCCTCCCGGGAGAGTTCCAAAAGGCTAACATTAGGTCGGGCATGTCCTCCTACTGGCGGATTTTGGACGAACAATTAAGAGTAGTCGAACAATATTCAATAAATACTCAAAAATCTGCTGGCCCCCTTGTGGGGCCACCAGCCTGTAAGCCTAAGGTTCGCACAAAGTGGGCATTTGTACCACGCCCTGAGCGTGTTGTCTGAATTCCCGGGGTGGGTAAAAATTAACACCCCTCACGCAGATCGGCGGGGTCAGGGTCCAAAAAAACAAGGGATTTGCCACATTTCTAAAATTCGTTGCACCCCTCACTCAGATCGGCGGGGTCAGGGTCCAACAATACAAGGAATTTGCCACATTTCTAGAATTCGCTGGCACCCCTCACGCAGATCGGCGGGGTCAGGGTCCAAAAACACAAGGAATTTGCCACATTTCTGAAATCCAGTGGCACCCCTCACGCAGATCGGCGGGGTCAGGGTCCAAAAACACAAGGAATTTGCCACATGTCTTAAATTCGGCGGCACCCCTCAAGCAGATCCGTAGGGTCAGGGTCCAAAAACACAACGGATTTGCTACATTCCTAAAACTCGGAAGCACCCCTCACGCAGATCGGCGGGGTCAGGGTGCGAAGTCACAAGGGGTTTGCTGCATTTCTGAAATTCGCTGGCCCTCACGCAGATCGGAGGGGTCAGGGTCCAAAAACACAAGGCATGTGCCACATTTCTGAAATCCGGTGGCACCCCTCACGCAGATCGGCAGGGTCAGGGTCCAAAAACAAAAGAGATTTGCTACATTTCTGAAATTCGGCGGCACCCCTCACGCAGATCGGCAGGGTCAGGGGATTTGCCACATTTCTGAAATTCGGCAGCATCCCTCACGTAGATCCGTAGGGTCAGGGTCCAAAAACACAAGGAATTTGCCACATTTCTGAAATTCGGCGGCACCCCTCACGCAGATCCGTATGGTCAGGGTCGAAAAACAAACAGGTGACGACACTGCTTCACGGCGGCGCCCAGACCTCATGATTTAGCTTTTGCATCTCCCATTATCCGAGACATGGGGCCGGCGACATGGGGCGAAGCCCTTACGGATAGTCAAAAAAAATACCCTTCCTATTCTTGTACAATTTTTGAACACTCCTCCTGTAGAGGGACACGCCCGACTTCAGGCCAACATCACTGATTTCCTTAGGCTCTTGAAGGATGTTGGCGTTCTCGCCTTTTCGGCTTCCGCCACTCCAGAGAGGCCCAAGAGGCCCCCAAGACCATCCAAGAGGCGTCCAAGGGGGCCCCAAGACGGCCTAAGAGTGCCCCAAGACGGCCCAAGAGGCGCCCAAGACGACCCAAGAGGGCCCCAAGACGGGCCCAAAAGGAGCCCAAGACAGGGAACAAGAACCGAAAATCCGAGCCTTCCGCCCCAAGAGGAGGCCCAAGAGGCACCCACTAGGCCCAAGAGGCCCCCAACTGGCGCCCAATAGTCCCAAGAGGCCCCCAAGAGACCCAAAAGAGGCTCCAAAACGGCCCCCAAGAAGCCTCAATACTGCCTCCAAGAGGCCACCGAGAGGCCCCCCCACGAGCCCCCAAACTGACACCCAATCGGCCTTATACCCACAACCCAGGCACGTTGGCGAGACGGGCCGAAGGCCATTAACTATGCTAAAACCAAGCTTCATGCCGCTGGCAAAGACTTTGGACAAAAATCTCGACAACGGCGCCAAGGATCAGGCAGGCCTGGCACCCAATGTGCAACTCCCCGTCCAGAGCACTCTTGCGCGACGGGCCCCTCGGGGCACTTTTGAGTCGTCATCCTACGTGATCCTCCGCGCCGAGCGCCGGGACGGGCGGCAGAAATAGCCTTAGGTCGGGCATACCCCCCTACAGGCGGAGTTTGACGTGTGTATGCATATATGAAAACATGAACAGCAACAAATACTGATTATCCCGGCAAAGCAACCTAACAGCGATGTGTAGGAGCATATCTGGAAGCATTCCCCTTAAGATTCAGATAAGAATCCTGTTGTAGAATTCTGCTGTTCTCGCAGTCGTGGTCGCATTCGCGATGGCAGTCGCAGTGGCAACAGCAGTCGCAGTCACAGCCTCAGCCTCAGCCTGCCTCAGCCTCAGCCTCAGCCTGCCTCAGCCTCAGCCTGCCTCAGCCTCGCCCTCAGCCTGCTTCAGCCTCAACATCAGTCTGCCTTCAGCCTCGGCCTCAGCCTGCCTCAGCCTCACCCTCAGCCTGCATCAGCCTCAGCCTGCCTCAGCCTGCCTCAGCCTCAGCCTCAACTCAGTCTGCCTTCAGCCTCAGCCTCAGCCTGCCTCAGCCTCAGCCTGCATCAGCCTCAGCCTCAGCCTCAGCCTGCCTCAGCATCAGCCTGCCTCAGCCTCAGCCTCAGCCTGCCTCAGCCTCAGCCTCAGCCTGCTTCAGCCTCAGCCTCAGTCTGCCTTCAGCCTCGGCCTCAGCCTCAGCCTGCCTCAGCCTCAGCCTGCATCAGCCTCAGCCTCAGCCTCAGCCTGCCTCAGCATCAGCCTGCCTCAGCCTCAGCCTCAGCCTCAGCCTCAGCCTCAGCCTCAGCCTCAGCCTTCAGCCTCAGCCTCAGCCTAGCCTCAGCCTGCCTGCCAGCCTTCAGCCTCAGGCCTCAGCCTCAGCCTGCCTCAGCCTCAGCCTGCATCAGCCTCAGCCTCAGCCTCAGCCTGCCTCAGCATCAGCCTGCCTCAGCCTCAGCCTCAGCCTCAGCCTGCCTCAGCCTCAGCCTCAGCCTGCTTCAGCCTGCCTCAGCCTGAGCCTCAGCCTCTCAGCCTTCAGCCTCAGCCTCAGCCTGCAGCTCAGCCTCAGTCTGCCTTCAGCCTCGCCTCAGCCTCAGCCTGCCTCAGCCTCAGCCTGCATCAGCCTCAGCCTCAGCCTCAGCCTGCCTCAGCATCAGCCTGCCTCAGCCTCAGCCTCAGCCTGCCTCTGCCTCAGCCTCAGCCTGCTTCAGCCTCAGCCTCAGTCTGCCTTCAGCCTCGGCCTCAGCCTCAGCCTGCCTCAGCCTCAGCCTGCATCAGCCTCAGCCTCAGCCTCAGCCTGCCTCAGCATCAGCCTGCCTCAGCCTCAGCCTCAGCCTGCCTCAGCCTCAGCCTCAGCCTGCTTCAGCCTCAGCCTCAGTCTGCCTTCAGCCTCGGCCTCAGCCTCAGCCTGCCTCAGCCTCAGCCTGCATCAGCCTCAGCCTCAGCCTCAGCCTGCCTCAGCATCAGCCTGCCTCAGCCTCAGCCTCAGCCTGCCTCAGCCTCAGCCTCAGCCTGCTTCAGCCTCAGCCTCAGTCTGCCTCAGCCTCAGCCTCAGCCTCAGCCTGCCTCAGCCTCAGCCTGCATCAGCCTCAGCCTCAGCCTCAGCCTGCCTCAGCATCAGCCTGCCTCAGCCTCAGCCTCAGCCTGCCTCAGCCTCAGCCTCAGCCTGCTTCAGCCTCAGCCTCAGTCTGCCTTCAGCCTCGTCCTCAGCTTCAGTCTGCCTTCAGCCTCAGCCTGCCTCAGCCTCAGCATCAGCCTGCCTCAGCATTCAAAGTGTGGCCCGGGAATGGAGTTCTGGGAACTCGAAGAACACGAAATGGCCTACAGTTGGCTCCGGGCATTCAAAATCATGCCCAGGAATGGAGTTCTGGGAACTCGAACACCACGAAGTGGCCTACAGTTGGCTCCGGGCATTCAAAATCATGCCCAGGAATGGAGTTCTGGGAACTCGAAGACCACGAAGTGGCCTACAGTTGGCTCCGGGCATTCAAAATGTGGCCCGGGAATGGAGTTCTGGGAACTCGAAGAGCACGAGGTGGCCTACAGTTGGCTCCGGGCATTCAGAATGTGGCCCAGGAATGGAGTTCTGGGAAATCGAAAAACACGAAGTGTGTGACTGTATGCGAAAAACGATCCCCCCCGGCAAACCCCAACGGCCCCCCAACGGCCCCCAACGGCTCCCCAACGGCTGCCCAGACCCCCCTGTGGAGTAATGTTGGAGTAATGTGCTGCTCTCTTTTTAGACTATTAGAAACCTATCAGTCTTCGATGTTAGGTACAAAGAGTAGTCCCCTGTTTTTGGTTTGAAACAATTTCTAAATACCCCTCCTGTGGAGGGGACACGCCCGACTCCGAAAAAGGGCCCCGCCGCACCGGGGCGGCCGGAGGCGTCCAGCGTACACCCTGCGAAATGCTTAAGAAATCATGGGTTAAGAAATTCAGAGTCTCAGGATTTGAATAAAAAACCCAAAATTCCTATTCAAAGTTTAGGCTTTACATCGAAACAGTAAGAAAAGGCGAGACTCTGGCCGAAACCTTACGTTTTCTTAAGCATCGCCCAAGGTGTATCGCGGCACGCGCGGAGAGACACGCGTGCCTCGGCGTGACTGGGGCACGCAGGCACGCGGGGAGAGCGGAGGACGCCCGCAGGCCGACGGTCATCCGGACCCGCCACGCGGGGGGGGGGGGGAGGAGGAGGGGAGGAGGAGAGGAGGAGGAGGAGGAGGAGGAGGAGGAGGGAGGAGGAGGAGGAGGAGGAGGACCCCCTCCCTCGTGTCTCCGCCCCTCGCCTATCTGCCTCCGCCCCTCGCCTATCTGCTCCTCCTCCTCCTCGCCTCCATGCGCTCCCTCTCGCACACCCCGCTCGCCTCCCCCCCCCGCCATCCCCCCTCGCCTCCTCCCTCGGGCCCTCGCCCCCTCCCGCTCGGGGCCGGGGCAGATGCGGCCGGAAGGACGCACCCCGCATGGCAGATGCATCGCCGCTGCGCTGGCGGCGTCAGGACTCAGGGCATCGGGCTCCCAGCCGCGCCGCAATCGGCGATGCATCGGCGATGCCGCGCGATGTGCTCCGCGCGCCAGGGAGGGGGGTGCAGCGCGAGTCCAAGGAATCCGCGCGGAGCGCCAAAAGTTTGTGTTTGTGGCGTTTTGTTCTTCTTCGACATCTGCAGCCTCCGACCCCTCGCCATCCAAGCCCTCCCCAGGCCTCCCAAAGGGATCTCCACCGACCTGCGTCCTCTGAGGGGGGCTTGTCGCACCATCGCTCGGACGCCCCCTCCTCATGCACGATGTTCGGTCTCGTACTTTGCTTCGTCTTTGCCGGGTGATCCAGGATGCGCCTCGATCTCGATGGCCCTCGCCGAGAACACATGCACACGTCCCAGCGATGCCAAGATCATGAGTGCATCTGGGAAGAAAAAACTCCCACCAGGGAAGGTGTCGGGAGTTGTGGAGCCCAAGATTCGGATTGACTCAAGTCATATATCGCTGGATGTCTGGGCCTCAGATTCGCGTCCTCCATCGTTGCCTCTCAATCATCCCTCGCTCCATCCCCCATTCGCCGCACCTCTTTCCCCTGCTCTCTCGCGTCCCTCGATACCTTGGCCGAGTATGCGCATCGCCCTGGCCCCCTTCTGCACTTTTTGCTCCGCTCACAAGATCTTGCTTTCACAAAGGACCGGGTCCTTGATCAGATGTTTCAAGATCTTGGACAGGTTGCTCACGTCGTCCATCCCAAGGTGATGCTGCCCATAAAGGGGAATCCTGAGCCGATTGAGCATGCCGCGCATGCCCGTCGGCGCCGAGGCCTTGCAAGAGAGGCTTCGGCAGGGAAACGCGGGGGTGCTGCACATTGACGGGCGATAGATCATGTGACAACTCAAGTGCACCTACATCGGCGCATGCAGGCCTGCGGCTACGGACGCGTGCTAAGGTAGTGAAGCAAGCGACTTTGCGAGACGCATCTAAGCGAGGCCAACAACAAAAGGCGGGCTCAAAGAGCTGGTACCAACCGACATATACTTCAAACTCTACATGGGAAGTCCAGGAAAACGAAAGAAGAGATGTTAGTGTGACTTGTGCGGGGCTGGCTCGTGCACAGCACCCACGGCGGCGTGCGACCCACTGGAGCGTCTTACAGACGTCCTCCTCAGCCTCCTCCTGCCCCGATTGCTCGAAACATGCCACCCGCAGACAAGGTCCCTCCGGAAGGGTGAGCCATGCAGCGAGCTGCCGCGCTTCCCCCCCCCCCGAATTAGGACACCCCGTTTCCTGTTCGGAAGTGTCCCTTGTACTACTAGCTCCTCCTACGCACCCTGCCTGAACCATTTCTCTTCCATCAAGTCACCTCCACCTCCTCCTCCTCCTCCTCCTCCTCCTCCTCCCCTCCTTCTCCTCCTCTCCTCCTCCTCCTCCCCCTCCTCTCCTCCTCCTCCTCCTCCTCCTCCTCCTCGTCCTCCTCCTCCTTCTCCTCCTCCTCCGTCTCCTCCTCCTCCTTCTCCTCCTCCTCCGCTCTCCTCCTCCTCCTCCTCCTCCTTTTCCTCCTCCTCCTCATCCTGCTCCTCCGCTCTCCTCCTCCTCCTCTTCCCTCTCTCCCCCCTGCAAAATTGCATGGGATGGGTTTTCCAGGTTTCCGCCGCCTGGGCGCTGGCTGGGGGCCGGGGGCTGCGGAATTCCACCCACTGGCCGCCAGCGTCCGCCTCGTGGCCGCCCCGTTCGCTGGCCGGGTTGCTCGGGTGGTCGGACGGTGGCAGGGCCCATCTTCGCCGCCTCGTGGTGCTGGCCCCGTGGCCGCCCGTCGACGCACTCCGAGCGCGGGGCGTCTGGGACGTACAGTCGGGCCTAGGACAGGAGATTACCCTTCAAGAACAGGAGACCCTCCGAGGGGCAAAGCACAGACCATCCTAGGGTGCCCTCCCCAGGATGCACACGAACATCCAACAAGCAAGAAGAACACTGGGGCACTTTTCCCGAACCGACCTCGATCTGATATCTCGGTAAGACTACACATCTGTTCCTGAAACATGTGCCTCTACCCCACATCCCACCGAAGCGCATGGCGTTTCCCAAGCCGTTGGTTCTCTCGAGTAGCCTGCATGGTTCCTTGCAATCCCGCGCGCGCACTTCCTCACCATCAACCTCATCAGCGTCACCGCATCACCGCGGTCCTCGGCATCGCAAATCGCCAATCGCTGTCATCATCTGCCAATTCATTTCGTCAGTCACCGACACATGGGCATCATCACCGTCATCGTAGTCACCAGCATCGGCGTCGTCATTGGCATTGCTGTCGTCATCGTCAGCATCGCCACCACCATCGCTACTAGCATGAACGTTGTCGCCGTCGTCGGCGTCACCATGATACCGCGCCCGCCCGAGTCACCGACCCACACTGAAGTTCCCGTGCGCCAGCGCAGCCTTTCAGACGCGCTGGTGAGTTTCAGTCGGTACGCGCCATCGCGGCCGTATCGGTTGTGCCAAACCTGTTGGCCGCTTTTGACGCGAGCTTGTGCGCGATAGTACAGCCGTAGAGATGGGCCAGACAGTGCCAAGTAGCCACCGCAGTCGCGGCCGCATGAGTGTGCGAATAAGTTCCAGGTGGGAGGGTGGGATGGTGTTAGGCTGGCAGTCAGGTTGACGACTTCCAGCTCTGCAAGGTGGATAGCACCCATCATGTGAGCTGCACAACGTGAATCTCACCACCCCTCTGGGCGTGAGTGGTCTAGAGAATTCGTTCTACTACCCCCATCTTCCCCTTCGGGAAGGGGGCTCCCCCTCCCATCCCCACCCCCCCTGGGTCTGGAGACCTCCCCCTGCCCGCGAGGGTCAGAGAGTGCGTTTTGGCCTCAGGTGGCCCCAAGAGGGCCACAGAGAGCTCAAGATGCCCCAGGACGGCCCCAAGTGCCCTCCGAGCCTCCAAGAGGTGCCCCCAAGGGGCACAATCGCTCAAACATCATTGGCTTCAATGTGGGTTTGCCTCCTTGCCTATTGTCTTCCGATTTGCCCCTGAGGTCTCATGATGGCTCAAAGATGCCCAATGGGGCCCCAAGAGGAGCACAGTATGGTCCTCAGATGGCCCCATGAGCGTTTAAAAACGCCCCAAGAGGGCCCCAAGAAGCAAAGTTTCGGGCCCAGGCGGGGGAGCGCACGTGAGTACACACCTCGTTTGACCGATGGTTTCCAATCTGGCCCCAAAGGCCTCCAAGAGGGCCCCAAGAAGGCCCCAAGTGAGCCCCAGAGGGACCCCAAAAGATACCAAAGAGGACATATGAGACCTCCGACAAGGGCTCTAAGAGGCCTCCAAGACGCTCCCAGAGAAGAAGAAAGCAGAGGCCTTGATGGTTGGCTCCTGTCGTCGGCGTCGGCGTCGGCGTCGGCGTCTTCGTCGTCGTCGTCGTTGTCGTCGTCGTCGTTGTCGGCGTCGTCGGCGTCGGCGTCAGCGTCGACGTCGTCTTGGTCATTGGTCAATGCGCGCCAAAATGAATACACGCATGGCGAGCAACGACAGGCAACCACTCCACCAAGTTGGCCCCAAGGACGCACGACAGATTACAAGCACCGCCCTACGCATCCTTCGAAATATCTGCGAAGACGGACGCGGTTTACTGCCGGACCGCATGCTGCTATACATCTCCTATCACAGCAACTCGACGGGAATGTGCTTTTGAATGGGCTGGAGGGAATACGCCAAGCGTCAACAAATTCCGAGCCATAGGCTGATCCACATAGCTTGCACCATAGAGATCGCATCGTATCGTTTGCACGTTCTTTATTGCAACACATGCGTTGCACCATACATGGGTTGCACCACGCTGGTGCCACATCGATAATGCAATGGATCCACTGTCTCGGGTTCACTGCGGCGAACATGGGTTTCGGTTATTCCCCATATCCTAAGGATTGGGGTTCTTGTTACTACTCTGACGCCTCCCACTGCTCCTCCTTCCTCCCGCTCGCGCCTCCCTCCTCCCAATGATAATCACCAGATAAGACAAGACAAGATACGATACTACAAGATAAGATAAGATAGCACAATATATGATAAGGTAAGATAAGATATATGACAAGGTAGGATAATATATAAGATAAGACAGCCTATGGAGTAATAAGATAAGACAAGATATGATGCGATAAGATGAGTTGATATAAGATAAGCTAAGACAAGATAAGAGATTTCACTCACACTCTCTCATGATCACAAAACGCTGCCAGGGGCATCATTTGGGAGCCCCAAGGGGGAGCCACCCTGGCTGATATCACGAGCCCGTTCGCGCCGATTTTGGTGGGACGTCTCAGCTAA